TGGAGAGTGTAACAAAAGTAATTTCCCCCTGGGATTATTAAAGTATTTCTGATTCTGAACACTGTAACTAATCTCTCACTACAGAATTTGGAAAATAAATGCCTTGTAAATGCAAGCACCACGTATAAGATGTACAGCTTGTGAATTGAAGAGTGGTTTACAGCATTTGAAATATCCTCGATATATTTTCCAATTTCAAAGTTGCATTACAAATTCAATAACTCAAAGGGTAATTTTTTATGTTTTTGAAAAGATAATGCATGCATATAGCTTTATATATGTTCCATCATATTACAGGCTTTAGCTTAAAAAACAATGTCTTAGATTTTATATCAAAGCAGAATACTAATCCAGCCAATGGTCATCTTAGGGTGGAACTCAATACAAAATGCATATTTGAGTTGCTTGTCAGATACTTTGGAGCTGGTATCAAAATACCATGACTCTAAAACATATTCTTATGATCTTGTTTGGCATATTGGTAAACATCAAATGAAGTTGATGTGCTCTGCTGAACAGCAAAGTAAACCATTTCTGGATTTAAGCAGGAGACAGCCATGTTAAATTTACATTTCTGACACCAAATCTGCGCCACTTTTTCAAACAGATGTTCGCATTTAGAAAAGCCAGTCCATAAATCATTTAGGAAGGTAGAAACAATTGACACTGAATTTGTCCATTTGCATGAATGGGATAAGATGCAACTTTAAACCTTTAAAAACTTACACAGTATTCCTTAATAAGGTCTTCTGCTTCCTCTCCAAGGAAGGTGATGAGCCCTTTCAGAACACATTCCCTTCGAATTCCAATGTCTTCAACCTGGAGAAAAGTTTTGTGTTTTTGTGAACAAATTGCCTGTCACTTTCTGTTGCACTCGCAATTTCCCACTAAAGGAAAATACATGACATACCTATTCTCTTTAGTTTTAAAAATTACGGTAACTTTAGATATTGGTGGAAACAAATGTTTATTTCACTATCAGAATCAGAAATACTTTAATAATCCCAGAGGGAAATAACTTTTTTTACACGCTCCAGTTACAGTTTTATATGATATATACACACATCCAACTACACAATATAATAAAGATAAAAATAAGAATAAAAATAGATAAAATATATACACATAAAGTGATACGTGGCGTGCAAAAATAGTGCATAAATGTCAATTACAGAGGGGTTGTCTGAATCACTTGAGGGAGGCGTTATAGAGATTGATGACCACAGGTAGGAATGATTTCCTGTGGCGCTCTGTGGTGCATCTGGGTAGGAGGAGTCTTCTGCTGAAGGAGCTCGTCTGTTGGACCAGTGTGTCGTGGAGAGGATGTGAGTCATTGTCTAAGATAGACTGAAACCTGGACAGCAGTTCAGGCGTCTCCCCCTCTTTAGACTTTCTAAATCCGCCGTTGTCCTTCTTAA